CTTGATTTCCAACCCCGTCTAGACAAAAAAATCAATAATTGTGTAATCAATAGTCGCGACTCTTAACAATACATTCAATATATATACATGTCCAGTGTCCTAAAAAATATGCTCTAGAACTACGTGATTAATAAAACAACTAATATGTGATTATTCAGGATTTATTTTATTCATGAATGCACTGGAAAACTAATTCACTGTTTACAGACAATAGGATACATTTTAGAAATAAAATCCATGGGTATTTATTTATACATGTACCCATTAAATACTAATAAAACTGTTTAATTTCACGAATTAAAAATCAGTCGTTATTTTTTAGTGTCATCTTAGCTATGATTGACAAGAAATAATTGCAGAACAAGTTTTCAGTCCCGGCACGCGGAGCCCGTGATATTGTAAATGACCTTGATCACGGTCGTAAGAAGAGTGTTGAAAGTGTAAAGAAGATTCCAATATTTTTTTAAGGGGTGCATCGGGTGCACCCTGAAAAAAGCATGAAATTGTTTTAAAAAAGAAAATTATCAATAAAAGACTTGTTTACAACAAAAACTCAGTTAGTATTTTCATTTGATCCCCCCCCCCCCCGGAAATATTTAACCCTGTATTTGCCGATGCACGTGAATTATAATTTATTTATATGACTATTATTAATCAGCCAATTTTATGCATAAAAAGACTATAAATGATTCATCGTTTCATTGTATCACAATTTTATAATATAAGAAAATTATGTTCGTTTATAAAGAAAATCAGTAAACTGTGCTCCCCGGCCAAGAATTCCAATACATGTACTTCACATTTATATCAACACACTAAATTTTGCGTTTTATTTTTCACGCCTGCCATATCTATCTATTATTTCGTATTAATCAGTGATATTTTCTTATAATCCCATATCCCATAATTGTAAAATGGTGAGGAGATTCAAATAAATGAATGAAAAGAACAAGACCGGATTCCTAATGAATTTTCTTTTAAAAAATGTTCTGTATTGCTCCTTTTAAAAAATGTATTGAATCAAATACCTTAAAATTTATGTGCATATAATTAATTACTTAACACATTTTCTGTCATCTTTATTGAAATAAAAAAGAAAGAAACTCAAACAAATACGTAATACATTACCGAGTAATTTTATTTTGTTGTTTCCGTATTTTTTTTTTTCACTCTTAAAATACCACCGGTATGATATATCCAAATAATATTAGTTACAAACACCACAGAATGAGATGTTGATCCATCAATAGCCATATTTAAAATAAAAGGTCTTCCGAATGAATCCTACACGTTTCTCACACAATTCTTGCACGAAAGTCGCACGTTTCTCACACGGTTCTTACACGAAAGTCGCACGTTTCTCACACGCTTCTCGCACGCTCGCTACACGGTTTGCACGAAACGCTTTGGAGCTTACACGAAACGCTGCACGGTTTACACGAAACGCTACATGGTTTGCACGAAACGAAAAGCGCACGAAAGTCACACGCTTTTTTGGGGTAGTAGCACGTTTCAGGGTCTGTAAGTTCAAACTAACTTCATTAGCTCAGTCTTGGTGATTTTGCAGTATTCCAGAATTAATGGTTGTATGCATGGCATTGGATGTGAGTATAGATCAGCTTAAATAGTCCAGTTAACAAATGCAATGGCAGCTAGATTCTGGAGGAGGTTTTGAGTCATTAGTAGCCTAAATTACTATGTACATGCTGTAACAATGAAATGTCCTTGAACAACAACCCCCATCCTGCTGATTTGAAAATTACATAATTATATAAAAGTGCAGAACTTATCAAGAACTTAAAGATGCTTAGACACAGATTTGAACTTAATATTTTCTTAAATTTTCTGTATAATATCATGACTTATATATTGCAATAGCATTTCACATGAAAATATAATTAAAAACTTATTTTATCTGGAAATTATTGGAACTATGAATTCCGGGACGCGTTTGATAAACACATCTTTGCACTTCCACACATTTTAACTTTATCCTTAATATTTAAGAAAAGAAGCGATTTTGTTATGTATTAATGAAAAAATATTACATCTATAATCCAGTAAATTCAGAGTAGAAATGTTCAAAAGCAAAACCAACTCACCAGTATTGTCAGTCCGTGCTCTGTGATGTGTACAGAGTTTAACAAATGGAACACACCCGTGAAACGTATGTTTTTGTAAACAGGGCACGAGCTCTGTTATTGTTAATGTTTATGATTCACCAGGTGTGTTCAATTGTTAAACTCTACACACACCACTGAGCACGGACTTACAATACTGTGAGTGGGTTTTGCTTTCGAACATTTCTACTCTGAATTTTCTAGGTTATAGTTTTAATATTTTTCATTAATACACAACAAAATTGCCACTTTTCTTAAGCATTAAGAATAAAATTAAAATATGTGAAAGCGCAAGGATGTGTCAATCCAACGCGTCCAGAAATTTTGAAGTTTTGAAATAAGATTTTTATTATATTTTGGTATGAAATGCTATAGCAATGTGTAAGTCATGAAATTATACAGAAAATTTGAGAAAATATTAACTTAAAATCTGTGTCCAAGCACCTTTAAGTGCTGACGCGTAGTTCTAATTAAGGCCTGGATGACCATGCGATACTCATGGGATGGGGGAGGGGAGGGAGGCTATCATATTTTGGAAATAAATAATCTGTCCTTGAAAATGCTGAAAATAAATCAATATGTCCTCAACTGGGATGACTCTTGTGTGGTAGTAACCCCACCCCTTTCCCCATAGAAATAGGGTTTTTGAGTTTGGATAGACTTTTTTGTTCACTGTGTGTATGAATGAATAATCTATCATTGATGTAGTGACATGAAAATAAATAATCTGACTCGAAAAAAAAATTGAACCCCCCTCCAAACGAATCAAATGTTTGTCCCCTAAATTGTAAGATGTATGTCCCTGTACCATCATTGATATTTCAAAAAACAGCCAACTTGAAGTCTTATTACAATGAATAGTTCCTGTACTTCCAAAATATCTCAAATTTTTGTGCACTACAGGAGCTTTTGCAAAGCTGTCTTTGCTTAGTTCACTCTTCATATTACAGATTTACCCTCTATCCATTCCCAAATTCACCAATATATCCAAGACTTTTACACCTACCCCCTTTCCCTTTTTGTCCCATCAATTTGCCAATACATGTTCATGTATATATACTAAAACTATTATGCAATTGAAAACAAAAACTAATGTAGTGGATTTTTTCTCCTGTCAAAGAATTTTTGTATGATGATCCCGATGTTAAACCTATTTTTAAAGCACCATATAGTGAAGTATCATCATATAATGTTGAAGTATCAGCATATAATGTTGAAGTATCAGCATATAATGTTGAAGTATCAGCATATATTGACAAAGTATCAGCATATAATGTTAAAGAATCAGCATATAATGAATGTTCTCCAAATAAGGCAGCTCAGAGGTGTTCCATACATTGCAGTCAGTGACTTGCAATGTATCGCTATATGGGATTTACTAGTGATAAAGATGAATGCAATGATAAGTATTGATGTAGTTAAATACTTTTATACAGTTCTAAATTGCAGATGATTTCATTATCTGTATTATGAGGCATTGTTATTTGTGTGTTGTAACAGTCAGTGTTTGAAATTCAGAATTATTTTCTATGGGTCCAAAGGACCCACAGATAAAGGGACTACACGAGTCCTTCCAGGGCAGCGTAGACCCAAAAATAATATCATCAAATATATGGGAAAAATAAACTTTTACGTATTGATGATCTCAGTAAGTTTATCGCTTCATATGAAATATGTCAATTTAATAAAGGGTATCTACAACTCGCAGGTATAAACAATATGAAACGGTAAAACATTAATCGTCACACAGTCTTACTTGGTCATGTATAACATGTAATGAGTTTAACGTGTTTATATTACTGTAAACGTACTTTTCCTTGAAATTACAATCTCTGTGTTTAAAATCCATTTGTAGAAAAATATGCAGGTTTCTAAGATTGCTACAATATGTTGATAAAATGTACTGAAGTATACTTAGACAATTTTCCGTGAAAAGTTTGTAACCGCATACATATAGCATGAATTTATTCCACGCAGGAAAAAAATCAAATCTTCAGTATTTATTTAAAATGCACATGAAAAGAAGAATTGATACTATCTTGATAAAAATAACAAGTTTTACCCATCTTTACAATTTCTTTTAAAGACGCTCATTGGTTAATTTGTTTAATATATCCAATTAAAATGCAGGAAAGATTTAAAAGTTATGTAAATGCATAAACCAATATACGTTAACTTCAATCACAACTTCTTAAGCCTTTCCAACAAGCGGTAAAGAAAAACAACGTGTATTTTTCCAAGTTCGTTGGAAAGGTCCTAGAAGATGTGATTGACGTTAACTTGTTTCCTGGCAAATCATCATCGGCTCAAAGTTATTTCAAGGATCCATTTAGTCATACTATTCATGAGTCCTTCCTTCCGTTTGTACGTCGGTGCAGAACTTACGGGCCGACGCTAATTTCAAACACTGGCAACAGTTAACATTTCCCATGTAAATTGGGCCCCTCCTCCTTTATGTAGCCTTAATAGTGCTGCACTCAGTCTGGAGAGGACTATATTTATTTTATCAGGTAATGAAAGTTGATGTATTAATTCATTGAATTTTTTTTCTTTGCTCTGGCTACTTAGCAGAAGATGGTTATAATGAGTAAGAGTGCCTCAATCTTCCAAAATGTGAAATTCATGGCCCCTGGGCCTGGGGTTCTGGTGTTAAATTGTGAGGGCTCTATTGATCATATGGTTGAAATACATCAATTCTTTGAAAGTCTTTTCCTCTGCTCCTGAGTAGATTATAACCAGACAAACTAGGTGCATATCCTCATCTATTAGTTTATTTTGTTTTATCATATACTTATTGCCATTCTATGGATCATTTACAGGGAACATTGTATAATACTCAGTTGATGACTTAAGACCTTTGGACATCTCGTTTCTTTTCAGAATCAATATTAAAATACCAGAAAGAGCCTTAGTAGCAGTTGTTGGACCAGTTGGTAGTGGAAAGTCTTCAATTTTATCAGCAATATTAGGGGACATAGAAAAATCTGAAGGGAAAGTTACTGTTAAGGTTTGTGATTTTTTTCATCAGGACACATGATTGCAGAGAAATGTTTTATTTCAGAAGATCTCTCAGAGAAATTTTTCCTCATTCACTGTGAAATCCTTTATACTTTAAAATTTACATTTTGAACATATGAAACATTGAAAACTTTCTCACAAGAAGCAAAGTCTAATGAATAGTAATTAAGGTCTTCTGTTTCCAATGGAAGACCTTCTACTGATTCTGTTGGTTAAGATTATTAAGGTCTTCCGTCTTCAGCGGAAGGCCTTACTGTTGTTCTTAGGTTTCTTTTCCACTATTTTTAAGGTCTTCCGTCTTCATGGAAGACCTTATAGTGATTCTACTGTTTCTTATCATTATTTTTTTTCCGCCCATCTAATTTTGTGCACGCGTTTTCTTGGAGACTACTGGATGGATTTAAATGAAATTTGCAGAAACAATGTGTTGTAATCTGAAGTTATTTTATCCGAGAGATTTTTTAGAATTTCACTTCCTGTGCTAAGTTACGGACCATTTTCTGAATTTAAAAAGACATTTTGTCCGCAGATAATCTCAAGAACAGTAAAGGATATCAATGTGAAACTTTCAGGGATTATAGATCGTAATAAATATTAGCCAGGATGTGACCTTTCATTCGTCGTCAATACTTCCGGTCATTACCGGATGCAAATTTTAAAAAGTTGACTTTTTAAACTTTTTTGTTTTTCAATATTTTTATTTGATATCAGTAAGGTTTATAAAGGCTCTTCTGAAAAGGCTCAATATATAGTTTGTTTTAAAATTGATAAATCCAAAGTCTAGTTATTCATATTTTGAAATTTGAATAGGGGACCAAAATGGCGGCTCTCTCTGTAAACGCCAACAAGCAGGTCGGAGTTTACGGAGAAAGCCGAGCGTCTGGTTAAATGAAACTACCGTAAGGATCAATGAAATGTGAAGACATTGTTGGATAAGCAATCAATATGTTAAGAAATTATTAGCTCACCTGAGCCGAAGGCTCAAGTGAGCTTTTCTGATCAAAATTTGTCCGTTGTCTGTCGTCGGCGTCGTTGTTGTCGTAAACTTTTCACATTTTCATCTTCTTCTCCAGAACTACTGGGCCAATTTCAATCAAACTTGGCACAAAGTATCCTTGGGTAAAGGGGATTCAAGTTTGTTCAAATGAAGGGCCACTCCCTCCTCAAAGGGGAGATAATTACGAAATAGCAAAAAATTAATGGCATTATTGAAAAATCTTCTTCTCAAGAACCAATGGGTCAGGAAAGATGAAACTCATATGGAATTATTGTCAGGTAATGTAGATTCAAATTTGTTCAAATCATGACCCTGGGGGGTAGGGTGGGGCCACAATGGACGATCAAAGTTTTACATAGGAATACATAGGAAAAATCTTCAAAAATCTTCATCCAAGAACAGCAAAGCTATGATTGGTCATATTTATTTGGAAGCATCCTGAGGTGGTATAGATTCAAGTTTATTCAAGTCATGACCCCCAGGGGTAGGGTGGGGCCACAATGGACGATCAAAGTTTTTACATAGGAATATATAGGAAAAATCTTCTTCTCCAGAACAGCAAAGCAATGATTGGTCATATTTATATTGGAAGCATCCTCAGGTGGTGTAGATTCAAGTTTGTTCAAATCATGACCCCCAGGGTAAGGGTGGGGCCACAATGGATGATCAAAGTTTAACATAGGTGTACATAGGAAAAATTTTCAAAAATCTTCTTCTCAAGAACAGCAAAGCTTTGATTGGATATATTTTTTTGAAAGCATCCTCAGGTAGTGTAGATTCAAGTTTGTTCAAATCATGACCCCCGGGGGTAGGGTGGGGCCACAATGAACGTTCAAAGTTTTACATAGGAATATATAAGAAAAACCTTTAAAAATCTCAAGAACAGCAAAGCCACGGTTTGTAATATTTATATGAAAGCATCCTCAGATAGTGTAGATTCAAATTTATTCAAGTCATGACCCCCAGGGGTAAGGTGGGGCCACAATGAAAGTTCAAACTTGTAGAGAAAAAAGTCACAGTTAGTCAAAAAATTATGTAAGCAGTGTAGATTTAATTTTGTTCAAGTCATACCCCCCCCCCACTCCCTTTTAGGGGTAGGTTGGGACCATTTATGCATTTAAGCTTTTCAATACTGAACTGATTTTTCCTAACCACAGTGCTCAGGTGAGCGATGTGGCCCCTGGGCCTCTTGTTATAATTATGTAGCGAAACATTCCAGTCTTTTCATGAATGTGTTACTAATTGAATAGTCCACTTTTGGGGTAAACAGGAATATAAAACATGTAGAAAAACTTACAGAATTCACTGCTTTAGTGTTACTTGCCCATACACGATATATTGTACAGTAAAAACTGTCATAGCGACCCACTGTATTAAGCGACTCACTGTCAAATGTGACCGTAAAAAATTCCTTCCAACGCTTTTCCCTATATATTTATTATACCTGTATTAAAAGACCACCTGTCTGATGCGACCAGCGACCGTGATTTTTGCTACCATTTTTAGTGATTTCAGGTAATTTTACCTTGATTTAACGACTATATAATTTCCTATTTCGTTCGAGCATGCTACATTTTTGGTTCAAACATCTATACGGAGACGCATTTTTAGGTCACCTGAGTAAACTCAGGTGACCTATTGCTATCCGTTTTCGTCCGTCGTCGTACGTTGTACGTCGTTCATCGGTCGTAAACTTTTGAACATTTTTAGCTTCTTCTCTGGAACCGCTCAACCAATTTCAACCAAATTTGGCATATAGAATCTATGGGTGAAGGGGAACAAAAATTGTAAATTTCATGGTCCCTGCCCCCCTGGGGCCTGAGGGGTGGGGCTAAAACCACCAAAATTAATGCAATCTTTAAAAATCTTCTTCTTTACTCCTGGACATCAAGCAGTCAAACTGTTGGCATCATTGTAATGAGCATTGAGCCCTCTACCAAAATTGTGGAATTTATGGCCCCAGGGTCAGGGGTTCTGGTGCTAGGGCGGGGCTATATAGATCATATAGTGAAAGTGCATTATTTCTTTGAAAATCTTCTTCTCTGCTCCTGGGTATTAAATAAACTAACTAAGTATATAGTTATGATGAGTAAGAGTGCCTCTTCCAAAATTTTGAAATTCATGGCCCCAGGGTCTGGGATTCTGGTGTTAGGGTGGGGCTCTATTGATTATATAGTGAAAATGCATTAAAATTCTTTGAAAATCTTCTTCTCTGCTCCTGGGTATTGAATAAACTAACTAAGTATATAGTTATGATGAGTAAGAGTGCCTCTTCTAAAATTGTGAAATTCATGGCCCCAGGGGCAGGGGTTCTGGTGTAAGGGCGGGGCTCTATTGATTATATAGTGAAAATGCATTAATTCATTGAAAATCTTCTTCTCTGCTACTGGGTATTAAATTCAGTAACTAAGTACATAGTTAGGATGAACAAGAGTGCCTCTTCCAAAATTGTGAATTTCATGGCCCCTGGATCAGGGGCTCTGGTGTTAGGGCGGGGCTCTATTGATTATATAGTGAAAATGCATTAATTCTTTGAAAATCTTCTCCTCTGCTCCTGGGCATTAAGGTAATAAACTAAGTACATAGTTATGATGAGGAGGTGGGCCTCTTCCAGAATTGTGAAAGCCATGGCCCCTGGGTCAGGGGTTCTGGTGTTAGGGCAGGGCTCTATTGATTATATAGTGAAAATGCTTTAATTCTTTGAAAATCTTCTTCTCTGCTCCTGGGTATTATTTAAACAAACTAAGTGCATGGTTATGATGCATAAGGATGCCTTTTCCAAAATTGTGAATTTCATGGCCACAGGGTAAGGGGCTCTGGTGTTAGGGTGGGGCTCTATTGATTATATAGTGAAAATGCATTGATTCTTTGAAAATTTTCTCTGCTACTGGAGATTATTTAAACAAACTAAGTGCATGATTATGATAGACAAGGATGCCTCTTCCAAAATTTTTAAATATATAGCCTCACTTTTTGGGGTTCTTGAGGAGGGGGGGGGGGGGTCTATTGATTATATAGTGAAAAAGCATTAATTCTATTAATTAATCATTAATTAATCCTGTCGGCTCCTTAGTGTTGAGCTGATAAATAAATTGCTTAGCTATGATGAAAATGGGAGCTTCAAACAGAATTTTTAAATCTTGTGGTCCTAGGGTCAGGGGTTCTGGCATAACGAGAAGGGGGGGGGGGCTTTTGATAATATAGTGGAAAAGTGTTAATTCTTTGAAGTCCATAGTAATGATGATGAGGGTAACTCTTCCAAATTTGTAAATTTCTTGACCCTTGGTCTTGGGTTCTGGTGTTAGGGTAAGGCTTCGTTGAATCTGTAGTGAAAATGCATTGTACCTGTGAAATTCTTCTCTGCTTCTGGGCATATCGGAAGCAAACTGAGTAAAAGTTTAAATGATATGAGTAAGCGTATTTCTACCAGATTTTTAAACATCTGGACCATTGGTCTAAAGCATTCTGGTCCTGGGCAGGGCTCTATTAATTTGTATTCTACTGAGAGAAGTTATTCCCCTTTTCCATTCACCTTTGATAATTAATCACTGTAAATAATGTATTTGAAAGGTTAATAGAATAAGATAATTATGCAAGAATGTTTATTGTATAATTAAAAAAGTACTTTCTTAGTTTTAATAATCAGGTAGACCTGTAAGTAATAGATAAATAAAAATGAGACAAAAATAACTTATCTTATTAAAAGTTCTTCAAAGACCATAAGAGAGGTCAATGCTAGAGATCTTAATATGGGTTTAAAAATAGTACAGAAGCACTAATAGTTTGTTAATAGTCTGCATGGTGATAGTGTTAAGTGGGGGACAGATTAGAACTCAATTTCTGAGTTGATAGTGAATACTAGACTAATTATTTTGTTGATCCTGATCTTCCTACTTCTCTTGTTTTTGTTCCTCTGCTCTGCCTCTGGGTATTAAGTAATCAAAGTAAGCATGCTAACTGTATAGTTATGATGAGCAATAGTGCCTCTTTCA